TACTTTAACTATAAGTTTATAAATAGTTAAAAACTGTTTAATTTGTCAAGTTAGACAAAATATTGTTCGAAAAATTGTAAATTTTTATGTTATTGATGTAAAATTTATCGAAAAATAAATCAATGTAAAATTTATTTTTATGTAACTTTTGTCGATTTTCACTATAATTATAAAATGTAATTTTTAACATTTATTTAAAAAAAAAAAATCGAGCGGGCCGAATCGCCTGAACAAAAAACCGGCCCATGTGGGCTTCCGGTCCGGGCCGAGTTACGATTTTTTTATCCCATCCCGAAAAGCCAACATGGGCTGATTTTTTGTTCGACCCTGCCCGCTCGTTTTGACATAACTAATCTAGGTGACGCCTAAACATCGTGTCTTGATAGTAAGTTTGAAACAGTTGATCGCTTAATGTGTAACTAGGCATCTAGGTGCGCTTTATTAATTTCTTTTATTTATTTTTAGTTTTTATTTAGAGCATTCTATTTCACTTTAAAATTTAAGATACAATGTTATCTTCAATACGTGTAGATAAATTACTAGTCGATAATATCTCGAATTTGAACGAAGAAGAAGCTAGATTACACAAGACAAGTATGTTTGGGGGCTAACAAGATATATGGACGAAGTTACACAATAATGAATGATCAACAAAAACTAAACTAAAGATTAAGATCAAACATCTAACTTTAGTAATAAAAGATCAAACTAAAAAGGAGAGAATATAGAGCTTGTGATCGATGTATTAGCATTATCCCCAAATGACACAAAAGGTGAAATATTTATAGTGTTACATGTGAAATGGTGACCGTTGGATGAAGGGACACGTGACCTTATCTCCTTAAACAAGACATCTTATCCTAGATATCAATATTGACCTAACTAGCATGTGGCGCATTAAATGTTCCCAAAAAGAGGCAGCCACCCTATAATATATGCTGGGTTCAAGAGTCCAATCAACCATTCCAACAAGATTTCATAAATTCAAAATCTTCAAATGTGGGTAAGCACTTTGTCATAGTCGATCTTCGGATTTAACTTCATTGAACTTCACCACTTTGGCAAAGAGTTTTCGTCAGAGCCTCAGATTTAACTTCAGCGAAGAGGCTTCGACAGGGCTATTCTCACGAGAGATCGCTTTGGTGAAGTGGGCTTCGACACCCCATATTTAATGGACTTCGGTAGGTTCTATTCACTCCACGAGAGATGCCATGTGGCCCAAGCAAAAGGGGCTTCTGTGGATTGGCCATGTGGCGAAGCGTAACAGTTCTTATAAATCTATTAAGTAAGACTAATTTGGTAAAAAGTTGAAATTATAAAATATAGTCTATTTTTTGCATTTTGAAAACTTGAAAATTGTATAATTGACTTATTGTAAAATTATTAAGCTCATGTTTGACAACAATTAAAATGAATCTTTTTTTTTTTAGGGAAAAAAAGTTTTAGAATAATGATTATTTGGAAAACATGTGGTTTAACAATAGGAAGAGTTTTGGGTTTGTGTAGAATATTTTATTGTGAGAACATGTCGTTGAAAATGAGGTTGAGAAAAAAAGTTTTGTTTTAATGGTTGTCAAAATGGATTAAGTAAATATGATATTTTATAATTTTAGATATTATATATGTATTATTTTAATTATTAAAAAATTAAAATAATATTAAAAATATCACTCATTTACACCTAGGCCTAACTTAGGCTCGTAAAGTTTGAAACTTGGTATCACACCTAGCACATTTTACTCTTTTTAAAACACTAATACTCATTTATTATATTTATGAATAATGTTATCTATCACCAGTTTAGATGGCTATACTTCATAGGTTCAATTAAATGAAACATGTGATTTTACATTTAAATAAAGAACAATGCTATATAGTACCCCTCTAAGTGTCTTACTCTATTGATTTAAACGAGTGATGTGACTTTGTATTTAAACGAATCTATTATTTAATGCCATATATTATCATCTAAATTAGTGTTTAGCTCTTTTTTATTCTAATTTTTGTGCTTTTATCACAACCGATTATTGAAATTTTTCCCCAAATTTATGGAGGTTCAAAATTCATCAGCTGTCAGTATTAACTCAATGAGTTTGTATGACATTCTGATTCAGTTTCTTATTATTGCGTTTGTTGGATGAGTTCCCTCTAACTGGAATTTTCTTCTCCTATTGGAGTAATTTTTTTCTAATGCTATAGCATGTTGTAAATGATGTGTACCTAATGTTGACCTCGGAAAATGAACCTCACACGTGGCCAACAGCTTGCAGCTCCACGTAAGTTCCTCCCGTTTACTTGTAACACACTATTAGTCACTCATAGCCTTTTCCGAGGGTGGTAGAAGTGGCCGCGAGCACTCCGACGGTCGGGTCAATTTGATGATATTAGAAAAATATGGAGTTCCAGTAGCAAAAACCGTCGAAAAGCGAATATTGCGTTTGATATGGGGAGGCAAATAATGGAATAGGTAGTTGGAGTTGCATTACCTTTCTAATGGCACAGAGCATGGATATATATAGGGAAAGAGGTGAAGTGAGGACCGTTGGATGTGGGGTACGTGACCTCATCTGTCGGTCAAGGGGACTCATCCTAGGCGTCAATCAGTCACTCGACAAACAGGTGGGTATTTAATGTTTTCTGACANCGGCGAATTCGATTTAAGGAAACCGTGTGAACACGGGCCTTCGGTTTGATTATATACTTTGATCCACCTCTATTTCATCCAACACTTTTCTCCTTTTTCATCAATGGATAAAAAATCACTCCTTATATGGTAAACTCTCTTGTCCTCCTCACTATTTCCTCGGCCCTCCTAGTATTCCAAAATGAAAGTACCGGGGAATTGAACAAAACCTCAAAAAGTATGCACTTCGTTTTATATGCACATTTGCAGCCTATGCAGGTTTTGCATTGATTCTGTCTGTCACACAACTTATCTTTCGGAAAATGATCAAAAGGGATCCTCTTTGTGCCATAATAGACATGTCGATTTTCTCGAGTTTGGCTGCAACGTGTGCTATACTAATAGGGCTATTTGCCAGTGGAGATTGGAGAAAATTGAGCTCAGAAATGAAAAGTTTTAAATTGGGGAAAGTTTCATATGTTATGAACTTGTTTTGGACAGCAGTTTCTTGGCAGGTTTTTAATGTTGGATGTGTTGGGCTTATATTTAAGGTTTCTTCATTGTTTTCTAACGTTATGTGTGTTTTAGGTTTGCCTGTTGCACCAATTCTGGCTGTGATCTTTCTCCATGAGAGTCTTAATGGATTGAAGGCCATAGCCATGTTATTGGCCATGTGGGGATTTGCATCTTGTATGTGTCAACATTATCTTGAATTCTTGATGATATGAAGACCAAGGATTAAGAAAACCAGAAGACCTAAATTATCATGACCTTTTGTAGTTACTAGGAAATTTCAGCCGTATAGCGGTTGATTTAGCAATGATCATCTGGTTAGTATGACCAAGCCGTTGGAGCAATGTGTAGTTCATGTAAAATTATATATAATTATGTACCAAAGTTGGGCTTGTCAACTGTGCAAATGACTATTTATGAATCATAGATGGTTGAACATTGAAGGACTCATCCTAGGCGTCAATCAGTCACTCGACAAACAGGTGGGTATTTAATGTTTTCTGACAAAATAGATTTGAATTGACTTTATGATGTCTGCTGCATAAACGTCCCATCAATCAGTTAAAAAGATTTTATCTTGGATAGATCTTTTTATAAAAGATCTCTTGATGCATTGGGACAAAACCTCAAAAAGTAAGTATGCACTAGGTTTTATATGCACATTTGCAGCCTATGCAGGTTTTGCATTGATTCTGTCTGTCACACAACTTATCTTTCGGAAAATGATCAAAAGGGACCCTCTTTGTGCCATAATAGACATGTCGATTTTCTCGAGTTTGGCTGCAACGTGTGCTATACTAATAGGGCTATTTGCCAGTGGAGATTGGAGAAAATTGAGCTCAGAAATGGAAAGTTTTAAATTGGGGGAAGTTTCATATGTTATGAACTTGTTTTCGACAGCAGTTTCTTGGCAGGTTTTTAATGTTGGATGTGTTGGGCTTATATTTAAGGTTTCTTCATTGTTTTCTAACGTTATGAGTGTTCTAGGTTTGCCTGTTGCACCAATTCTGGCTGTGATCTTTCTCCATGAGAGTCTTAATGGATTGAAGGCCATAGCCATGTTATTGGCCATGTGGGGATTTGCATCTTGTATGTGTCAACATTATCTTGGATTCTTGATGATATGAAGACCTAAATTATCATGACCTTTTGTGGTTACTAAGAAATTTCAGCCGTATAGCGGTTGATGTAGCAATGATCATCTGGTTAGTATGACCAAGCCGTTGGAGCAATGTGTAGTTCATGTAAAATTATATATAATTATGTACCAAAGTTGGGCTTGTCAACTGTGCAAATGACTATTTGTGAATCATAGATGGTTGAACATTGAAGTCACTTTCTTGCTCGCAACTTCTTAAGTTGAATTTTCAGCATCTAAACATTAGCAAAATATCAATACGAGTGTCAACATTGGTTGAATTGGATCATGTGAGCTGTAAGAGAGGGAGATATAAAGAATCACAAGCTAGTTAGACTTGAGGATGATCTGAAGTTTATTAAAGGATTGACCTATTTCACTTAATAGTGTAACTGATTTTGGAGTAAACCTCAAGTCTCAAAAAAGTTAAAAAGTGATGGCAAGAAATTCCTTGATGATGAACTCTTCGTGTTAATCTGTATTTAGGGGCAATGAAGATGATATAAACATCAATAAAGAATATATATTTTGGAGTAAATCTTTTATGACTTTTCATGCTTATTGGACAAAACCCACTTCCCATTATAATGGGAAAAGAGGATGAATCCGACAGCCTTTGAAAGCAAAGTCAATAGTCAATAAACTCCACTCAGACGGTAAAAGTGGATCAACTCGACAACCTTTGAAAACAGCAATAGCAAGTAAACGTAGTAGTGAAACAATTCGGTTCATATTTATCAAGTAAATAATTAAAACGTGGTGAGATTCGTGATACATTTGGGTTGTCGTGGGAGAAGCTCAAGAACAACAAATGAAGCTCGAGTTATACTCATTGTCATCATACACCAAGTGTAGTGTATCTTATGGCCTCTTGTTCACTTTCAAATTGCTACTAAAAGAAGATTTCATAAATTTATTATCGTACCTGAAATTCGAAAAGTTGATAGCTTCATTAAAATCTTCATGAATGTATCTAGAGTATCTCCGACATACTCCCTTGTACTCACAAAGAAAGTGACGTCTCCACTCTAGCTTCACTCGCATCCACTAACTTCAATGTAAATGATGAAAAATTGATTTGAGGGACAATTTCGTATTCAAAAGATTAAGTGTAACCCATTTCAAAACTTTAACACAAAGTTTAAAACTTCAAAACAAAGTTTAAAACTTCAAAAATATATAGTAATTAACTTTTATTTATGAATAATTAATTAAAAAATATTTTAGTATTTAGATATATTAAATTCATAATTCTATACAATTTGGTTACAATTTATCAAATTAATTGGTCACAAATTATTTTTCAGTCACAAATCAAAAATTTTATAGGTCACAATTTATTCATCGATCATAAATCAAAAAATTTATATGTCATAATTTATTTATCATTCACAAATCACAATTATAAGTCAGAACTCAAATTTTTAGATCACATATTATTTATTAGTTACAAGTTATCGGTCACATAATTTATTGGTCACAATCTCAATAATTGGTCACAAACACTATCGACCCTCAACATCGACACCACCCAATCCCAATCCGCTAATTGAAAGCAATGCAACCTCACCACTACAATCGTCGTCGCCACCTCACCACCACAACCACCAACAAATCACCATTTTCAACTACAAAACCACCATTGCCATCGTCAGATCCAACAAAAATCACCACAACCACCAGATCTACCACCACCAACAAAAACCACCGCCACTACAAATCCAGCAAAACCACTTTATTGTCATCGCCACCGCCAACCCAAAAACAACAGCCAAACCTAATTCAAGCGGACTGCCTGGAACCACTTCGTCGCCATCATCACAGCGCCACCACCAACACCAACTAGCCACCACAACCACAACACCACCACCACCTTCACGCCACCAACACCAACATAAAAACAACAACCAAAACTAATTTCTAGTGCACCTGAGAAGGCACACTGCCTGGAACCAATCCATCATTGCTGTCACCACGACGTCGCCACCAACACCAACCAGCCACCATAATCATGGTACCACCGCCACCACAACCAACACAAAAACAATAAACAAACCTAATCTCTAGTGCACCTGAGAAAGCTCAACAACTGGAACCGTTGCTGTAAAAGTAGCATCTCAAGGTCAGGTGCCGTTGCCATTTTGTTGTGAATGGTAGCATGGAATTCGGGAGAGGGAAATGGAGAGATAGAGTACTTCTAGAAGAGAAAAGGTAGAGCGAGGATAATAACTCGTTGTTGCTGTAAAAAGCAGGAGAACGAAAGGAAGAGGGAGCCATCAATAGAGAGAGGGTAAATAGAGGACGAAAAGAATGAGAAAGATTTAGGGTTTTAAAATCGGGGTGGGATGGATGGGATAGGGCGTAATAAAGTAATTTAGCCAATGTTTGAGCCCCATTCTCTCTTTTTTTTCCAGTCATTTTTCTACAGTACTCATTTTCAACCACACATTCTCCAAATAAAATAATATTACACAAAAATTTAAAAATTTTCATCACTTTTCCACCACACATTCTCTCATCAATCACTATTCAAATACTAATTCTTCCTAAAAAATAGGGGCCAAACACCCACTTAGTTTTATAACAATAATGTACACCCCATTTGATTCTCATTATTCTAGAATGAGAATGAAAAATATAGTTGTTATTGAGCCTCACACAAGATATAGAAATTCAAAATTGATGGATAACGGTCATATTTTTCATTTTTATGGATGAAAAATGAGAATCAAACGGGCCCGTAATATAATTATCGAATTCTCATTATTGTAGAATGAGAATGAAAAATATAACCGTTATTTGGCCCCACACAAGAGATAGAAATTCAAAATTGATGGCTTGATGTGATGGATAACGGTCATATTTTTCATTTTTATGGATGAAAAATGAGAATCAAACGGGCCCGTAATATAATTATCGATATTTAAAATTTTGATTCTCATCTGATTTTTGAAAAAAAAAAAACTTGTAAATTTTAATTTTAAAATGAAAATTTTAAAATTCTTGTAGGCCGTAATTTTCACTGGATTAAAACTCTTCAAAAGCCCATTTTTATAAACCACGTGAAGCCCAATTAAAAGCTAGTCTTCTTTGTTTTCAAGTGTTATTGACAGAGCAATAGAGGGGACGAGCGGCTGAGGGTTTCTGTTGAACTGATTTCTACTTCATCACCAAACTTGGAAGGTGATATCAGATTTATTTGTGTAAAAACTGGCTTTTTATACTGATTAAGCACTTGATTTTGTTAATCTTTGTTGTTGCCTGATGGTAAGCTTCCTTCACAACGATTTTCTCGACAATATCTCTCTTGGATTTTTTTTATGGGGTAGTTTATGGTTTCTCTCCCGCCTTTAGAACTAGCCGCCCCTCAAGTGTAATTGGTCAAAACACAGGACCAAAAACAAAGATTTTGACTGCCACCAACGGTTTGGTGCCAGTTCCGTTCATACGTATTTATCTGTTCTTAATTTGTTTCATATTTTTAGAATTCTTCTAGTTTCGATTTTGGATTATTACTCTTGTTATCTGATTACTGTTTTGACAAGTTACTGAGTCAGTATTTTCTTAGATTGCAATTGATTTATAATTTTTCAAGATGGTTTTTGGTTATCTATGCATATTTTTATAAAAATGTTTATTGATTTGTTTTAAGACTTTGATGATGCTTTATGATGATTTGAAATTAAAATTTTGAATTTTGCGATTCTTTTTTAGAGTTGATGGAGCACGGGTCGTATCAAGATCAATCACAGGCAACATTTTCATTAACGGATGAGGATCACACACTAGCAAATTCTCTCAGATTCACTCTTAACCAAGAGTTAGTTCTACTTCAATTATTTGTAGTTTTTCTTGACCCTTGAAAATTCGAATATTTGTCTTTATTGTATATTTCTACATGTTATCCCAGTTGTTAAAGATTGATTTTTTTTAACACTTGATTTTATTAAAATTTTCAACTTATTTAATTTTATGTTGTCACGATTTAAATAACGGCATGCATATTTTTGTTAATTAAAGAATTTGGAAGTCAAGGGTGGATTATTCAGTTTTATTTTCTGCCTATTGCCTTATTGTCTATCTCGGATGAAGTCTGAATGTTGCACCACAGAATCTTTTCAAAAGATAGTTAGTCATTTATTATATTTTTGATGAGAGTTGTAAGCGATATTTCTTTTTTATTCATTTTATTTCATTTTAGATAATTCCCGTGCTTCATTGGTTAACCGATCTCATTTAGATGGTAATGATTGAACCAATTGAATTGATTAAGGTGCACTTGATGTTGTCATTTCTTGTCATGATAGGGCGAGTTGAAACTTTTACGACTTTTTATCTGGTTATATAGAGATGCTCTCTCGTGCAGAAGAAAGTGTGCAAAATGCATTGAACTTATTTCTACATCAGATGTTGCATCATTGAATTTTTTTCGCTATATCTCTATATGCCAATTTCTTGCAAAATGGCCTGTGTGTGTATTAGTAAGTTCAATAAATTCATTATGTAGACAAAACATATTGCTCACTAACCTAGAATTATATTATGTTGCAGCCCCCGAGTAACATTTTGTGGGTACAGTATTCCGCATCCTTCTGATGCTCGTGTGAATATAAGAGTCCAGACGACTGGTAAGGATTCCCAATCCTTTTATATTCAACATAAAGTGAAGCTCTCAATTTTGTTTTATTAACTGTTTTTTCTTCTATAAGAATCCTATATCCCAATCTCGTCTCTCTTTGAACAAGTTTTACTGACAGGCTGGAAATGAATGGACACTGTATGTTTGATATATGCATATTTCTCATCCTAACCCATACTGCCGTACATGTTCTAAACAACTGAAAATACGTCTTGGATAAATGCAAGAAATCATTCAATTTTATCACTCTACCGGAGAAAAAAAAATATTCCTAGCTGTTTATAAGTAAAACTATATAAAATCAAATTGACAATCTCGTGCGACAAATGCGTATGAACTAGTAGTCTTGC